TTCGGCGGAAGTGGGATGGTATCGCGCGTTCCTCGGTAAGCTATTGCTAAGGGCACCGCAGCTGGTATGGAATGTGAGGGAAGCTTTGTGGTCTACCAAGCCAACCTCCAGCGTGCCCGTCTGGCGACTCAGGAATTGGTCATGTCTGCTCACAGGGGGAGAGTCGGGGTCGCCCTGATCCAAGAACCTTACGTCGGCGCAGAGGGGAGGGTCGGTAACTTCCGTGACGTCAGGGTCGTGCAGAGGGAGGACGCTAGGACCAAACCCGTCAAGGCCGCGGTCATGGTCTTCCATGACGACCTGGAGGTTCATGTGAACCCTCAGATAGTCACAGAGAATATCGTGGCTGCGGTTCTCAAGACGGGAGATTGGACCGTGGCGGTCGTCTCAGTATACCTCGAGGGCACGGAGGATATCGAACCATACCTGGTCCAGCTACGAGAGTTCATGGGGAAGGTCGGCACCAACAGGATCCTTGTGGGTGGCGATTGGAATGCATGGAGTCCGTGGTGGGGTAGCGTCGAGGAGGACACAAGGGGTGAGACCCTCAGGGGGTTCTTTGATGACCTGGAGCTGCACGTATTGAACAGAGGAGACGTCCCCACCTTCGATACGATCCGTGGGGGCAGGAGGTACACGAGTCATGTCGATGTCACCGTCTGCACCCATGGGTTGTTGAGAAGCGTCCGTGAGTGGAAAGTGGACGACTCCGTGACCAGTTCGGATCACAGAGCAATACGTGTGGTTTTGGGTCTCAGGGTTCCGCCTGGGGGAAACGCCCGGTGGACAACTCGACGTTTCAACACCCGGAAGGCTGAATGGGGTCGTTTCGCCGAGGAAATGCGTAGAGGGTTGGCAGAAAGGGGCCTCACCCCGGAGGCCATTGAAAGGGTTACCGACCGAAACCAACTAGAAACGGCGGTAACCCAGTACATAGAGTGCGTGGAGGAGGCGTGCACTAAAGCCATACCCCCCCCAAAACCCCCCAAACGTAAAAAACGCTTTCCTTGGTGGAACGATGAGCTTGAAAGGCTGCGTCGTGATGTTAACACGAAACGCCGCAGGATCCGATGTGCGGCGCCGCGTCGCAGAGAATGTGTGGTTGACGAATACCTGATAGCCAAGGCGGAGTATGAAAGGAGGGTTGTCAACGCTCAAACGGAGGGATGGAAGGCTTTTACCTCGGTGCAAGAGCGGGAGTCTATGTGGGATGGTATCTACCGGGTACTGAGGAGAGCGTCGGGTCACCGCGAGGACCAGCTTCTCGTGGAGGGAGGAGTTGTGCAGAGCCCGGAGCAGTCGGTGGCGTTGCTGGCCAGGACATTCTTCGCCGAAGACGACGACGGTACAGACTCTGAAGTCCATGCCGTCGTCCGAAGCCGAGCGGACCTGGTCGGCGTACGCTTACCTGATGATACCGATGATCCCCCGATCACCCGGGGTGAACTGGTTCGGACGCTGCGCAGCTTCAACCCTAAAAAGGCACCGGGTCAGGATGGATTCACCAGCGACATATGCTGGCACGCCATATGCGCGGGCGAACAGCTGTTCCTGACCATTCTGAACCGATGTCTTGACCTGGCGTGCTTCCCAGCGCCGTGGAAGGAGGCTTCTGTCGTGGTGCTCAGGAAACCGGCTCGTCCAGACTATGCCCGCGCAAAGTCGTACCGCCCCATTGGACTTCTCTCCGTCTTGGGCAAGATCTTCGAGAAAATTCTGTGTCGTCGAATCCGATGGCACGTCTTGCCCAAGTCCAATGCAAGGCAGTACGGCTTCACACCGCAGCGGAGCACGGAGGACACGCTGTATGACCTGATGCAGCACGTCAGAGGTGTTCTTTCCAGGAAAGAGACCGCCCTCATGGTCTCTCTCGACATCGAGGGGGCGTTTGACAACGCGTGGTGGCCGGCCATAAAGTGTAGAATGATTGAGAAAGGTATTCCCGTAAACCTAAGGCGTCTTGTTGAGGATTACTTCAGAGACCGAAGCGTCGCCGTGCACTACGCGGGAAGGACCGTGCGGAAACCACAGACCAAAGGCTGTGTCCAAGGCTCCATAGGTGGACCCCTGTTTTGGAACATGCTGCTGGACCCCCTCCTGGATAACCTGGATAGGCTGGGCGCGTACGTGCAAGCGTTTGCGGATGATATCGTGTTGGTGTTCTCCGGGCACACGGCACTCGATATCCAGCGGGATGCCAATGCCGCCCTGGCTGTAGCGCGGGAGTGGGGTGTCATGAATAAGCTGCGCTTCTCCGCCGAAAAAACTCAGGCCATGGTCGTCACGCGCAAGCTTAAGTATGACACTCCATTTGTACAGCTGGGCGGGGTTGACATCTCGATGGTTACCGAACTCAAGATCCTCGGGGTCATCGTGGACAGTAAACTAACTTTCAATAGCCACATTGCCTACGCATGTCGTAAGGCGACTGGCCTGTATAGGAAACTGTCAACGATGGCTCGGGTGGAGTGGGGCCTGAATTCGGAGATCATCAGGACGA